AACGGGAAATCCTTCGAGAAATTCTCCCTAAAACGTACCTTCTTTAGCCACTGGCGCTTTTCCATCTGTCTCTTGGACATCTTTTTCGAGAGAAGTCTTCACTTGCTCGGCTACACCCACGCAAGCATCGTCTTTCACTGAGTTCATTTGCAATGATACATCGATTTCTGGCTCTTCGAATATGGATTGCGTAAAAACTTCAGATTCTGAACAATCAAGGCTTCAGGAGAATCATTCTCGTGAAACAGAGGACCATTCAAAAGATCAACAACATACCAGTGATCACTATTCTAGTGACGGCAGTGTAGACACCGTCGATAACGACCCCGTATTCACCGGCATCAGCCGGTACAACTGAGATTATTGTAAGTGAATGTTGACGACCATCCTGGGAATCTTCGGCGATAAACCTCGAATCCACGTCTCTACTCTTTCCTCTATTCACCACCAACGAAACTCCTTCCTAAAAATGAGAGCTTCTCATGGTATCATGTCTCTGAAAGTACTGCTGTAACTTTTCTGTAGCCGTGTGAAAACTTCCAGCTTACTGTAGACAGGTCACAGTATCGAAATGGTTGAAATGGCGGTGTCAGTACAATAGCCCAGGTTGTTCTTCTCCAGTGCAGTCTCTTCTCACAGCCTGCCTTCCACCCTCCCAAACACTTCCCAGCTCATCGCCAGATTTCCAAGAACTTTACCACTTTTCCGGAAAAAAAACTATTGCTGAGCGGGGTTCTTCAATCAGCTGTCAGATATATTTGTTGTATAGCACTCTTGCGTCTTGGTAGGGGGGGGGTAGAGTCTATGCCGCTCCATCGCCCGCGGCGACGGGTGCGGCGTTTTCTTGATATGCATCAACCTGTCGACTGGAACACCGAATTTCATGTAGACTGCAACATCGTTGACGTTCATGACTAAGTAGCGCGGCGATTACGATTGGCTGTCATATATCCAACTGAGGGAGGGTGGAGGGGGGAGGGGAGTATAACATGTGTGAAACTGGAAAAAGCCAACTAAGAACAAGTTCTCCAATGACTGGGGGTAATTTTTTCTGTGGCTGGAAACATTTCCCTAGCGACTCTGGAGAATTTCTCTCAAAGCCAGGATTTATCCTGCACCCCCTCCCCCCTCCAACTAAGCAGTGCGATTACTTACCATTGTTTTCCAGTCCGAAAAAACGCTCAGCTTGACTGGTAGTTATTTCTCGAACTCGAGGAAAGCCCCACGACCCGAGCCTATGTCAAAGCGCTACTTCCCCACTTATGGCATTGCAGTCAAATTGATGTGGGAGATAGAGTCGAGGCGAAGCGCCGCTGCACTTTTGAGCGGGTTGGGTCCTGATGCGGCTTCCGCGCACGTCTCCCCACTTGCTTCGCTGCAACTGGGAGGTTGCGCTCCACAGTCTGTCAAAATTGAATTGACGTCCTACTTTGTGTAAACTGCCGGAGCAATAGAAGGGAGCCCACAAAAGCAGCAGTGAATTATCCGATATCGCGGATTTCTGAGCAAAAATAGTTTAATCTAGAATAAAGGTGATGGAACGGCTAGGGAACAGCGTCAGTCCCTGCACTCTTTTCGAGTGAATTTCGAGAGGAGATATGTTTCTATTCGAGTATATAGAACATTCTTCGAACAGTGTTTAGCCTCTTTCTTCGTAAAGTCTTGGCATTATTGTGAACTTTTAGCTGTAATTTGATTCTGCCAAAGAGGTTGGTAGGTGGAAGACTTCATTGGAAATGGCCTGACGTTTCGACAGGAGTCCTCAGAGGCCAGTCTACCACCACATATTTCCTTCAATGAAAGCTAATAAAGGCAAGTTTGGCAGTGATAATGTCTTTAAGGTCATGAGTAGGATTGATACGCTTAGCAGACGGATTCGCTACCTGAGAAGGTCGCGGCGCAGCGCCCTTCTCCAAGGAAAGAGTTCTCCTTTAGAGGGCCCTGCGAATTGGGTACAAAACGCCCGCCACGCCCGCCCGCCCACAAATGGACGACCGTTCCGACGCTCGTATTCATTCATTTGCTAAGCAAATTATGAAGCGAAGGGATTGGTATGAAGCGGCCGCGTCGAGATGCACGTAAGTATGAGCACCAAACCATTATGCAGCCGTATCTTCGGTCAGCGGTGATTAGTTAAGATGCGTATGCGCCCAGAACTCGTCCGAAATGTGATTTGAAGTCATTAAGAACGGTGGCTTTTTCTTCGTAGGATTTTGACCGTTCACTTCGTCCTTTCGCCATTTTCCCATTATATAGCGCCTTGCTAGCATTCGAGGCCGAGTACCAATTATCGTTTCTGGTTAAACCTGCCTTCAAGGCTCTTCCAGAGCCTGGAGGGGAGGAGCTCCGTTGTGGTTGAACTATTTTGTAATTAAGTTGGTTTTGGATGGTTGAGTCCCAACTTGTTACTTGCCTTACTGATACCCCTTTATCCAGTTGATTTTAGTGCCTTTGATATCCATGTAACTGTTTCAAGTGAACTCCCATGGTATTGTTGCGTTCCTGGCGCTATCTGAGTAACCACTCCCCCACTCTTTTATGGGTGAATGCGATACTTAGGGTTTTTGAACTCTCTGAAAAGGACGTGCTTGGTTACTTAGCGTATCATCAGTGAATACGACATTTCTCTTTGACTCTTTTTTCGAGAGAAAGCGCTGCTGAGTCAAACTTCTCAAGTAAAAATTCTCGAAAAAAGAGCGGGAAATCGAGGCCGTCATGCATCGTACAGCGAACAGGGCCGTTTTCTGACGGAAATCGCTGCCAAGGTGGTGTGGATCAGACAGCAGAGCAACAAGGTGAATGAGCGAATTTGCCTCTTATTTTATTCTCAGACATCAAAATATGTTGAGTGCTTGGAAGGAATGAGTCCAGTGAGGGTGGTGGTAATCATTCAACTAATGCGTCATTTAGCTGGAGAACATGCAGTCGCTGTGCTCAGCCCTGTTGGATGACCTTAGTGGTTATCCCACATTAAACTCGCGCATGACTTCATTCATGGAAAAGCTGAAGCAAGCCGAGCAGGAGAACTACGATCAGTGGTGAGGATTAAGATTTCTTGACCGTCACCACGTTCATGAAAATTTGGGGAGGGGGTAAACGATAGATATGATGACGGCAAGGACTTGTTTGGAACACCAACAACCCCAAGAAACCAAAGGGGAGTTATTCGTGAGGACTGACTAAAGGCTATTACTGGGAAACACACCACGCCTTATTCGGAAACGCAAACCTGAATCTCAGTCAAAGCCCTCAGCTTCAGGTTTTCGTTTCGTCACGAACAGCTCATCATCCCGCATATTGTTTGAATTGGTGAGATACGACGGGTTTAGGGCATGCGTTTATTACTTTGCGGCCAGCGTAACGCTTTCACGGGCGTTACGCCGGCGGCAGTGTCGAGGGAAAGGATAGATATCGATCTAGCGTTCCCAGCGTCGCCAGCGTACGCTAGCGCTTGCAGCGACGGGGCTAGAGAGGGGCTAGAGAGTATTAGAATAGCAAGCGGAGAGTATTCGTACTCTCCTACTCTTTATTTTACTCGGTCTAGCCCCTCTCAGCTGCGCGGCGTACGCTGGAAGCGCTACGCTACGGTGCCGCAAAGTATAAACGCAGCCTTAGACACCACCAACTCATTCGAACATCGAGATCGGATCGTTTCAGTGTAGTTCTCTTTGCCCAATCTTAACCCACGGTGCTGCTGCTGGATAGATAATTACCCTTATTAATGCGTACCATCGCAGGTAAACGATGCTCTCCAGGGCACAGCATTCGATGGGGATTTTGGTCGAGCTTTTACGACCCCCCCCCTTTTTTCAAGGGCTGGTACGACCCCCCCCCATGCTCGTACGATGGCTGACATGGCTGACTGTGGTTGTGGTTTATACTCGGCGAAAAAGTTGTCGAGCGGGGGGTATGTAGTAGGCATGCGACGTACATCGTACGGGCGTACATAGCGCTGTCAAACCGTTCTACGTAACGCGCGACTTATATTCGTCTCCAATTGAGAACGCAGAGACATAGAAATATGAACCTGTGGACAAGCTTTAGGAAGGACAACCCTATCCTACAACTAATGGTTCCCCTATCATACTTATTGTCAGACTAACCTCGCTTTCTGCTGTGTCGTAGTTTCATTTTCACTACATCAATTTATCATGAATTTGCAGAGAGGCGGAGTTACGGCACTCCACGGCGAGACACGGGAACGAGGCAGTGCTTCACTTATTTGCCACAGCTTTTCGCAGTAGTGACACCTGCACTTACGACCCCATCCCATGTACTACCCGCATGCAACATACGACCCCTTCGTCGCGCGTTCCGCGGAGCACTGACCCTGACTCCTCACCCCTGCCTCCCTTCAGTCACGTTTGTGGTGGTGAGTGGTGTTGTTTTGCACTTGATAGACATTTTGACCAGGAAACAACCACCATTAAGCACGCTATAACAACCAGGAGTCTCGGTTTGACTTGAGGAGTGCATCCTCTACTAGCAAAGGGTCTGGAGTAAAAGCGCCAGTGATTAAGCCAATTAAAAACAAGCTTGAAACAAAATTGAATCTTCACTATCTCCTTCGGCACAATCACAGCCATCTTATTTGCCTTTGCTTAATTACGATTAGCGAAGTATCCACACCGTAAACATGAATCAGACGTGGATACGGTAGCGGCAATGAGTACGCAATTGCACGGCGTGATTGGTGGTATTTATAAATAACATCTGCTGTCTAAACGAAGCCGAGGTAACCTCTTTGAATAACTTTCCCGCGCGCACCTGTTTGAATCGGCGCCGAGGTGCCGGGGAAGGGAATTCTGTGCAGGACCAACCGTGGGAAACAAATTTTCGGCAAGTAGGGTGTCTTTGAAGGACCATAACTTCCTCAAAAGCAGACCTATGGGGAAGGGGAAAGCGTATTCGTGTAGAGGAAGGTTTGATCTTCCTAAAAGTACTAAAATGTTCATGAAGGTCGCAAAAATCACAGAGAAATTGCCTTAAGAACTGGACGGCAGTTCCAGAAAACTTCCTGGAACAGCTCAGCCCACGTCCTCCAGGCGGTCACGGGCACACATGGCCCGGGCTACAGCCTCGATAAGCCATCCGTAAGCCGCTCTGATCGGTCTGCGGCGAAGTTTCTTGCACCCCCACTGCCCTGGTGGGTTGTGATTGCCGACTCCACTCGTGTCGTCGTTTCCTCTGCTGTACTGGCTCCTGGCTTGTGGCGGCTCCTGGATCTCTTCAGATTCTCTCCTGAGTCGATGCTCCTGATCGCCAGTTGATCAAAGTCCAGTCAATCGATGCGGAATTGAATGTTTATTGAGAACAACCTCTTTTATAGCCTTGTATCATCTATATCAGTTATCATCTTCGTTTTATTGAGAACAACCTCTTTTATAGCCTTGTATCATCTATATCAGTTATCATCTTCGTCCTTCTTCCGTCTCGGTCGTCCACTTCATTCTGGGATGGTCATCCTCCTAAAATGGTGAACCACCCTTCCGCGCCTAACAACCTCCAGGAGGCGCAGCCTACCGTAACAGTGAGTTGGCAACCTCTCTAGGCTGCACCCTAGTGACAACTGCCATGCTTTTCCGCAATTTTGGTTATAGGGAAAATTTTTTGTGAAGGATAGTGTTGGACGCCGTCTGACTAAGTCATACCGAAGGACGAAAAAACAGTTTTCTTTTTCTTGTACACAATAAAAGAGGGTTTGTGAGATTTGTGGTTTGGTAGCAAGTGTTTGGAGTCTTTGCGTAAAGCTATGCAGCACATGCGCTCGCAGGGTCTCTCAGTGAGAAAAGTGTGTTTAGTTCATCCAAAATAGAATTGAGGGCAGGAATATAAGATTTCACTGTGTCATAGGTGGGACTTTCAAAGGGCGATGTCACTGAGTACAGGAGTGCAGTGACGGCTACAGCCCCTACACTAATCAGCATAAAAACATGGATAACGTCATGCTTGAATTCATTCAGAAACATTCAAATTCTTTGTACTCCTCAGCAATGAGAAGACCGCATTTGAGGATCAGGCTAGACCAAAAGATCATGAATCTCGATGAAGGAATTACCCATCTTATTTACCAGAGGTAGCACCTCTAATCACCTGAGGTGGTGGTTAGAGGGTGCTAACTTTGGTAAATAAGATGGTAATTCTAGATCTCTAAACCGCGTCGTCTTCAGAAATCCACAAATTTTCCGAAAACCGTCGTCTACATCGAAAATGAGGTCGACGTTTATTCTTTCACCGTAATTTGCTGGTAGCTCTTAATAAGAGTAGAAAATGAGAAGCTGTGCAAAAGGTAGTACCAGTTTACTGTAGCTTATAGGTGTCTTTCATTAAAGGAAATCGTGGTCCTAATTTGGTTCAAAAGTCGCAGGATTTCTTTAAAACCTAATATTTTGGGTAACAGCTGATTTGCTCTTATTTATTTTCTATTTATTTCTATTTATTGCATGTACATACGCTAGATACATGAGGTAGACATAATATGTAAAATCACAACCATTGAAAAAAAGGGAACAACCACAAACTGACAATAAAGGGGGAACAGACAACTAGATAAAACGTGATAAAACAACAAAACAAATTGAAGTGAATGGATTCGATTGAACTTATACCCGAGGTGACATAATTTCAATCCCATTCTGAGTAACCAACTCAATCATGCAATAATGAAATCTAATTCGCCTGCTAACCATTGAAGACCGCCAGCTTAAGGATTCCGCTTTTCATCCTCCAATGCGTTACCGCACTCCAGTGGCCATCGGGTGACGGTAGCGCTCGTTTAACGAAATCCCGAAATCTCTCACTTGCTTCATCTCGAGAGGAAAGTGTGTCCAGCTTCTTCGTCCGCACTCTCTGTAAGAAACGCTGGCCGCAATAGGCACCAATCCTCACGGGACGAAAGCCTGACACCTCTACCCCCTACTTGTTTATTCCACATGGAAGGCATGGGCTGGAAAGTGTACGCTCAACACTGAAGCTAAATATAAGAGATGTGATCAAAATCTTATTCTTCACCAATGTACAATACTTCTATAAGTCATAAGTCCGGGCCGAGTTTGTGTTACTTTATCAAATAATAGAATGATTTATCCATCTAACTAGCTTGTTTGATGTACTAAATTTTCTTATTAATTAATTTATCTACTTTATCTAACTGAGCAGATTTACTGCAATACTGAATGCGAAACGCACATCAACTGAAACCAATCACTGAAAATGATTCCTTTTGGCAGGCAATCACACTTTCGGCATGTCCAGGGAGGCCTGACATGTCTCTATGTCAAGAATCTTATTTGTACTGAATAAGGCTAAAGGGCTGCTCGGGGAATGGAGTTAACCTCAAGCGAAGCCCGCGACCACAGATGATCGATAGCGGAGCTCGAACTGCGAACGGCAAAGTGCTAGGTAGCGGATAAGTGGAGGAATAAGCTGAAAAACCGGACTCTATGCCGATCCACCTTGTAGGTGCATGCAATTAAGAGAAGGCGTACTTGTACGGCAACGTGGCCACGGTAATGCCAACCCAACTTGAATTTTTGAAAGCATCCTCTGGGTGTGATTATTCTGCTGCTAATTCTTCGTTCCTTATCGTGAATAGACGATAAGGGCGGGGAACTGATATCGGCAAGTGAGGAGCTCGTCAACGGCCACGCCGCTTCTTTCGCCTTCTAACAACGTTCATAGCGGTTCAGTCATGGCGGTTAATGGAGTATCTGCGGCTGAATTTTTTTCGTTCTTCTCACTCAACAGGTCGTAAATAGGACCCAATTTTTTTTACGTGGGGGCGTCACTTCAACGTATCGAACCCAAGGGAACTCTGTCTTCTATTGAAGTTCATTTGTTTTCTTCGTTTTCAATAGTGTTTCTTCAGATCCTATTCGGTAGTTCGCAAGAAGATGGTATGAATATTAGTAGTTTTAAAAAAGTCGCCCGCTTATTTATGGGCTTTTATTTGGAGACCAGGATCGTAGCTGAAAAGTAGTCAACGCCTGCGCACAGATGAATCGAGAAATAAGGTTCATTGCACAAGATAAGCAACTAGAGCA